CAATGTCTGTACATCTCTAGTACTCAGAATATCTTGGCTATGTTAGCAGAGTATTTGAACAGGAAAACTGGGAGCAGACACAGAATCTAAAGAAATGGCAAATAATCTTTTTGTTTTTGCATATTTTTGTTAAGGATTTTCAGTTCTCTCATAAGAAAATACGGTTTTATGTTAAAAATCCTGTAGCTTTGTATTCTGAAATAAATAAATGCAAATAAACATTAAGAAAAATAGAAACCTGGCTTACTTTTCAAAACAGTGTGGAGCAAATAATAAAAGAATGGATCCGTGGGTTAGGTGTAATGGATTACTGATTAGCCCCACTGATTGAATGAAGTATATGCAATCTATTGTCACTATCTTGAGTCTAACTTCTGATCAGTTCCCTTTTAGAAGTGGCAAATCTGTTGCAGAACCCTTTTATTTTTTTACAAGATATTCAGCCTGCCCTGTTAACAACAAGGCTGCCTGGGCAGGTTATTACACTGGATCTGGCATTTTTTATTCATGCTGGATTAATTGATAACCCATGGCAGTGCCGCTGTCTGTAGTATGCTGAGATGAGTGAAGTTCAGAGTTCTGTGGGATTTTCACAGTATTACTGGCAAATTTAAAGAGTAGGATTGTATAAGAACAGCTTTTACCAGCATAGGCAACAACAATAAAGCTGCTGATAAGATGCATTTACATTTTCCTACTGCATAGATCTGGGTTCACCTGAGTGGTGCCGCACAGGCATCTTTTAGCACCTCTGAGGTGCCCTGATCCCCGATTTCTATTTCTTTTTTAATTATATCATTTAATTAAATAAAACCCCCAGTGGGAGCCTTGTACGCTCTCCTACCATATTTATTGTGTGTGTTGGTTTGACTGGTCGATCATGCGCTTGCTGTCTCTGTCACGTGTGTGCGCACATGTGTGATGGCTTGCTTTCTGCGAAATGGGTATTTTATTTCTCGGCCGAGGAACAATCTATAATTTGGCAACCACACCTTTGCCTTGTACTCCATTTCTTGGCTAATGTAGCTTGTCTGTAAGCCTCAGTAGTTTTGGAACTTAAACTTAGCCTCTGTGTGATACTTGGCCCAAATCCATTTAGTCTTACCAGTTTGCCTCCTGGGAAATGGGTATAAATGCACAAGCCATTTCGGCAGCCATTTTGTGAGAACACCCACAATACCTTTAGTAACTTGGTCCTTTTCAGGAACCTCCCAGAGTTGTGCCCATTAATAGAAGTTAAATAATAGTTGTGCCCATTGGCCACGGACGGTGTGGGACTACTGTCATATTTATTTATTTTATTTATTTTTCTATTTATATCCTGCCTTTTTCCTACAAAGGGCTCGAGGCAGCTTACATCATCTCTCCTCCTCCATCTTATCCCCACAAGAACAACCCTGTGAGGTAGGCTGGGCTGAGAGTCTGTGACTGGCCCAAAGTCACCCAGTTGGCTCCATGGCTGAGCGGGGACTAGAACCCAGATCGTCTGAGTCCCAGTCCCAGGCTCTTAACCACTACGCCACACATACACCTTAGAATTATGGAGTGACTTTGCAGAGCTCAGGAACTGGCTTAGGAAAGGGGAGATGGAGAATAATTTGCTTTATTTAGGAATGCTTCATTGGTCACCCAAGCAGCTAAACCCAACTGAAAGCAATTGTTTCATCTGCTGTAGGAGCAAATGGCAAACTCAGAAGATAGTGTTCTGGTCTTCCATTACTTTTTATTTGCAGCATATCAATATTTTAATCTTTTGAAATCAGGAAAAGGGTATCCTTTGCTATGAAAATAAATAGCTGAGCATAGCCTCAGATGCTTGAGAATTTTAAAAGCCTCGCATAATAGAACTGAAATGCTTTTATCAGGTTTTTAAAATTACAAGCTAGATGTCATTCCTGTATTAATGACATATGAAAGCCCTCAATAGGATGCCTTGTTATTGCGTCTCTGTTTTTTTAATCCACCCCTCAAAGGACCAAATGGAAAAGCAGCTGCAGGCCTTCCAGGCAGCCAGTGTTTGAACTCTCTGTAGCTTGTAGTGATAAAAAGAACAAATAAACAGGGATTAAATGCTCTTTAAGCAGGCCCTAGTGTTGGGGGAACAACAGGAATTCAAGGTGGGACAATTACATTGATGTAACTGCGGAGAACTAATGTGGTGGAGGAATGCTTTTTTTGTTTGTTTCTGCAGCTAGCATAGAGGCCCCGTGGACTGGTGAAGGGGAGGGGGGGACAGCTTGTCTCTCCGAGGTGTTAGACATTAGTCATTTCTGGGTACCTCCTTGTCTTTAGAGTCTCCATCTTGGTATGTGCTCAGACAGCTTGGGTCTGAATGCGAAACATTTGTGAAATACTGTCCTAGCCGTTGCTTGGGGTTCAGCCACTTCATTTTCGTGTTAGGCGTCACCCTAAATTGAATTCTTGCCTTCCCTGGTAGAAGCACTGCAGCCCTGCTGTTGAATTGAAAATGTGAAGTGTACATGTGCATCTAGGAGAAGTCAATATTTTTATGAAGCAGCATGGAAAGTAATTTTTTAAATTGATGGATAGGCTTTGGGCAGTGTAACCCCAAACCTGTAAAGTAACCCTAACCCATAAAGTGGATAAAAATGAAATATCATTGGGCTACTGATGGAGTAGGATGTTTGAAGAGGTACAGAAGTCACAACAGTATGATAAAATGTTTGGTTCTAAATGTGACTTGACATCCCATGACATGTTTCTGTACCTGGATTTAATGTTTGGAGCATGAATATTTGGGTGTTTGGGGTGGGGAATTGAAGCATCAGATTAACCCCCCCCCCGCCCCAGCTTGGCAAGCTGAAGCCCGCCTGCAAATTTCACAAGGATTGCTATTTCTCTAGGCTTCCCATCTATAACTACTTTAGTGGAAAATTCTTCAAGTGGTTTCATAGGTCTTTTCACCACTTTGAAGGCATTCAGAAACGATTGAAACTTGACACCTGGAGCTAGTTTCATAGCTTTCCAGTTCTGAATGTGAAATGTCGGGAAGAGTGGGATTACTTGCACATGGTTTTTGGTAGTGCGGTTAGGTAGTCTGTAATTCTGGGTCCGTTTTCATTTTAGAGAGTCTAAAGGTAAGGCCAGGGAAACCATTACTATAAAAATTGCTTTTATCTGGTAGCCAAGAGCCAGGGTGGGGGAGCCATTTCCCTCTGCCTGCCTAATACCATGCAGCTCAGTTAACAGGGCCAATCCCACTGTTCCTCTCCCAGCTAGCCTGTATCTGAATGGAAGGAAACCCTAGAATGGATCCCATTCACACATTACTAGAGTGGTAGGAGATGTGTCCACCGAAGCACCTTTCCCACTCCAAAGACAATCGTAGAATCATAGAATAGTAGAGTTGGAAGGGGCCAGGAAGGCCACCCGGTCCACCAATTTACACCATTCCTCTCAAATGGCTGCCCAGTTTCTTTCTGAATGTCTCCAGTGTGGGAGAGCCCACCACCTCTCCAGGCAGCTGGTTCCACTGTCATATTCCTATGGTAGTGAGGAAGCTTTTCCTGATGTCCAGCCTGAATCTGGCTTGTTGCAACTTGAGCCGATTATTCTGTGTCCTACAAGGACTGGCTTCCATGGAGAAAGTCACAAGACAACCTTTTTAAGCAGGTTTCTGGAACCAATTAATCCTCATTTGAATCTTTCCGGTATAGGATATTCCTTGCTTTGCTAGTTATTTGCTGTTGGTCTCTCAGTTTCTGCGGAAGTAATAATTTCTCCTCTGCTACTGAGTATCCTTTGGGGTATTGATGTTCAAAATAAAGCACATTTTGTTGACCACTTTGAGTTGCTTGTAAGCTAAAGCAGGGTATGGAATTTTAAAATGTGAAAGAACTCTGGCTCTGCATTAGTGGTGTTCTTTTACACCCCATTCTCTGTATCTTTTATATTCCAGTTTATGAAGCCAGAAGGTTAGATGGTTTCTTCTGTAAGCTGAAGCAAACATAGCTATAACTGTGGTGCCCAAGTTGGGGGTGGTGGTGGGGGGGAGGGCTTAGACAACAAATGTCATTAATATGACAGACTTAGTGGAATCTGTATCACCTTGTTGTTCTTAATAGAAACATTCTCATACATGGTGAGAAGACAGTGTAGAAACATTTTCAGCATGTTTACTTGGTTATATACTTATTAAATGTAAGAGGGAATTGTTTGTAATATTTAAAAAGTATTAATACCTTTAGGACTGAGTGCTGGTATTCCATGATTCTGTGCTAAGCTTGCATTTGGTTGTTGTAGCTGAATTTAATACTGTTGCTAGTGATGGAAACAACCCTGTTCAGAAGTTGTTTGTGCTCACTGAAATTAGCTGTGTTAAAATTCATAACGGGTACAGAACGCTGTCAGGGGACCCTGAAATCAATGGTTGTTAACAATTCCAGTACAGAGAGATCTAGTTTCTGTATAAAGGGCCCTGGTCCTCAGCAACGTGCAAGGAAGATCGCCACCTTGTTCTTCTCCAGTTGCTTTTGATCTGGAATTAGGGAAAATTGCCGTTATTGGTGGCGTTTAGAAACATAGAGCGAGTCAGAAGGGGTCTCCCGGGCCATCTAGTCTGACCTCCGGCACCAGCCGGCATTGGAGCCTTAATTCCAAATCAGACCACTTCATCTGAGTCCATCAGCCACGAGTTTTCAGTTGGCATCTTATTTGTGTGGCTGTTCAGCAGGTCAGGAGCCTTTTGTTGATATAGGCTTTGGCCATGTTGAATTGATTTAGCATAACTTAACTAGGCATAGTACTCAAGCAAAATCTTGTGTTTTGAATAGCAAATGATTAGTAAAGGCTAGTACAGAGTCACGGATCCCAGCCATTTCTTGGGTTGACTTGGAGTAGAAGCAGTACTTAGGGATGCGAATGGCCGTAGAAATGTCCTTTCCCCTGGCCTTTCACATTTCTAGCCTTCATGGATCACTTTAAACGTGCGGTACATGCCCAGCGACCTGATATAATGCCTGTATCTGTCTTCTTCCTAGGTACAATGGCTCCCTCCCTAACGGTGATCGGGGACGTAGGAAAAGCAGGTTTGCTCTTTATAAAAGACCCAAAGCGAACGGCGTCAAACCCAGCACGGTTCATGTCATTTCAACACCTCAGGCATCCAAGGTATGTGACTAATTCTCTGGGTTTGGGAGGCACTGACCTGGCAAGGGGATGGTTTCTGGGTGCCGTCTGCTTGTCCTGTTAGTTGTGGCACTGCCATTTTGCAGCTGGAAGGCATTGCTTCTTTGATAAAACGTTTGTGTGCGCCTTTGTTCTGCCAGTAATTGTAGTTTATATTCAAGGCTTTCCCTCATAACAGGTGGTTGAGTGACGCAAGACTCTGCCTCTTTCACTGAAAAAGTAGAGAGGTGGGCATTTTTCTTTCTCTCCATAGCATGCAAATCTCATGCCACGAAGCCGATTAGGGGAAGATTTAGGGCAGATAAAGGGAAGTGCATCTTCACACAGCATATACAGTAGTTAAACTGTGGAATTTGCTGCCACGGGAAGTGGTGATGCCCACCCATTTGGATGGCTCTAAAAGGGTATTGGACGGATTCATGGAGGAGGCGGCTATCCGTGGCTCTTAGCCTTGCTGGCCATGTGCTCCCTCCTTCACCAGTTGTGGCCTTGCACCCATCCTGCTGGAGGGATCCTGTGGGCAGCTGGTTTGCCATCATGTGTACAGAGTGTTGGGTCAGATGGACCTTGGGTCGGATCCTGCATTCTTATGTTCCTGAATCTTGTTCATACTTAATTGTTTAATTGGGCAAAGAATAGATCTCCCTTGGGAGCACTCTTCAGTCCCAGTCTTTTCTTTTGTGTGATCTTTTCTGTCATTAGCTAATTGTCTGTTATACTAATGTTGTGAGCTAAGAAATGCTTCTGTTTACTTTAGCAAGCAAAGTATCGTAGTGTACTCTGCAGTAGTAAATGTGCCTGGATAGTGGATAGTGGCCCAATATTTGGGGAGGTGGGGTGGAATCCAGAGACTCCCATTGTCTGGATGCACACAATTCAATGATTCTGGTACCCACGAGCAAGAAATATTATCAGCCCCCCACCCCCGCAAACAAAATAAATCGAATTAAGAGATGATCAGTGCAAGTATATGCATGCACAGAGTTACCCTTAATGAAGGGGCAATGTAGATGTGAAACAGCATATTCAGACTAAACTTTCATTCTTTACTGTGATATGGTTTAATACTAGCTATGGGTATATTAAGGTCCTAAATGAGAACTAGCTGCACTTCATGAATTTTGAAAGCCTTCTCCTCAAGTAAATAAAGTTCCCCACTTAGATATACGGATACTTGGAATCCATTCTTTCTCGTCCCACTGGTAGAGCAGTCAGGAGCTGCTCTGAATCAAAATATGGAAGAGATGAGTTCTGGGTAATGTAGCTGGAAAAAGAGTTGGAGGAAGAACTGAAAGGGTCTAGAAAAAGCTAAAGTTTCACTATTTGCCTGGTCCTGCCTTCTGATTCAGAATTTGCTTACTGCAGTTTTATCCTGCCTGCTTTCCATCAACTTACACAGTTTCCTACTTGTTGAAGGAAGGAACTTCACAATGTCTGATTGTCCTTAGAAGTTATCTGTAGTAATGTTGTATAATATGGAAGAGCCACAGGTTCTGGATGGGCAGCATCGAGCTTACAAGATCGTCTTCCGGTGTGCACAATCACAAGAAACCATCATGGTTCAAACAAACCACAGTGCCTTGTTCTGAACTGGAGTGCACGCCCATGGTTGTAGAGAGATTTGAGGTTGTTTAATCCTCCAAGAAGCCATGCAGCCTGAGTTTGAACAACATGCGCTGCAGCTGAGAAGTGATGATGCAGATCGCATCCAACATGTGCCATGGCTTTGGAGAGTTTTCTTACAGAGGATCAAAGCAGCCAGCTTCATGGGGTGAACATGCTGTTTCTCGTAGTACGGCCGTGCTTGTGTGCTCTGCATGGCGCAGCGCCAAATGTAGTAGTTTTGGCCAAGAGAACAGAAGAAGATCCGGGTGGGATGAGACCAAGCGCCTGCCTGATCCAGTGACCAACCAGCTGCCTACCCCAAGCCCACAAGGAGGGCATGGGTTCAATAGCATTCTCCCCCTCGGCTTCCCCAGCAGCTGATGTACCTAGGCGTGAGGGTTGTGTGAGGAATCTGTTCAGAGGGTAGGAATTCCTCACATTTCCTGGGTCAACTCCCTGCTCTCCAGCCCACTTTTTCATGGCCGTAATTTTGACTTCACCGATTGCTTGCGTGCATGCGAATGCTGTGCGTGTGACTGGTATCCTTTATTTGTGCTACATATCCAGTTGCGCAACTGGGCTTCTGTGAGTGGTTGTGGACTTCTTCTTGGCTTGGCTCACACTTCTTGGCTTTCTCCACACCATGTATAGCTTCACGCACTTCTATTTTTCCCTACTTGTCTTTTTTCTAAGCTAAACAGCCACAAACTTTCCTGCTAGGGAAGCTGGTCCAGTGGCCCGATCATTTTAATTGCCCGATTCTGCACTTTTTTCAACTCTACGTTATACTCTTATAGTTGTGCTGACCACAACTATAGAAAGTAAGGGTGGTCACACCATAGATTTGCGTAACGGCAGTATGATTCTGGCAGTTTTATTTTCATTTCTCATGTTTGCCTAAGATGGAATTCGTCTTTTTCAACCTCTTCGATTAAGACCAGAGTGATAGAGGCTCAGATTTCATAAATACTGATCACAACATAGTTGTCCCGTGTAGAGAAATCCCCAGTATGTTGTATTTGGTCACTGCTTTGGCCCTTGGCATGAGGCTTTTGTGCCTTGAAGTGAAAGCTTACTGCCTTTCTCACTACACATTCCTATGGAAGTCGGCCATCCCTTGTGTAAGGTGTTTTTGTCCAGGACCAATTTTAGTCTTCTGTTTTCCTTGCAAAAAACTGGATATTGGAAAACTAATTATGGATGCCTGAGCTGCTTTCATGATATGTATTTCGCAGAAAACTGGGGCATGTGTATGTATGTAAAATGCAAATAAATGTAACCTGAAAATGCAAGTAATATTGGTGGTGTGAAATCTGCTGGATATATAAAACATAACAACATTATAAATTCAAATAAAAAGGTAGCAGCTCTGATGTAAGGGCACATTGTCACAGAAAGTGCCCTTGGAGATCAAGAGATCATTTTCACTGCGGAAATCCACTGACGCACAAGATCTGCTGAAATGAGCTCCCATCGTTACAGACATTTCTGAAGACTCACAATTGCACGTGGGCTTCCCCAGATGTATGATCATACCTGATAATTTGAGCATGCATATGTTCACGTCTGAATCTCTGGCAGACGTTTGAATGGGTGTTTTGGCTGGAGATGATGGGAGTGGTAGTCCAGGACATCTGAAGAGTGCTGGGGTGGGGAACACTGTTCTAAAGTAAGAATTGCACCATGAAAAGTCCATTGATACATGTTTAATGCAAACATTTCATACATGAATTAGCTAATTTGCATTGGAAAATGCTCCGTTTGTGTTGGAAAATCACGCGAAAAGGCTCTAGTTTTTCGTGTTCGTTTTACTTGTATTTAGAAAACAACAAAGCTAAAAGAGAGTGACACTTTATTTTTGCTCCAATATTCAACAAGTATTTGCCTTGACATACTTGAAGTAGAACATTAAAGTTCTGCTTATTCTACATCTTAGAATACTGGAACTGCTTACCTGTTTTGTTGGGGATGCTGGGAGTTGTAACCCAACAGATTTGGAAGCTGGGGAAAGTTGCATTCTGGAGCAGCTTTTCTTCTGTTTTGCTGTCACTTCTTGCTAGTTTCATTTCACACTGCAGCATGTATGTATTTCAGTGACATCCAGGTTTTATTGCTAGGAATAAACACCCCAAAAACATCCATTACAACGGTGAAACTGCCAGGCTTGCCTTGCTCTTTTTTCAGTTGACAGCCAGTTATTGTTATTAATGAACATGAGATGGAAATTTTTCTGTGGAAAAATAGGGCATTTTTGGCCCTACATCACTGAAAATGGCAGTCTTCCTGGATTGTGTTCCCTGGCTTTCTGTTGCAGAATTTTCTAGATTCTTGTTTGCATCCTAAGCTTGCTCCTGATTTCACTGTTAGTGGTTCAAGGTATATTGAATGGGGTTGGAAGGGAAATTGAGAAGACAAAGGACTCAGAGAGGGGAAGACTGGAAAGACCATCCCTAGCAAACTTAAAGAGCTGGTCCAAAGTGGTAAAAATTCTGTGTAATGTCATATGTGAATAAACAAATGAAACAAGTATAAACTAGAAACCCTGGACTAGATTTTTCTACTGGCCTCTGTGTGTTTGCACATGTTTGTGCATTTATGAAAATGTTCTCCACTGAGAAAAGCAGAAAGCTGCAGCAGGTAGATGAGTACTGCATAAACTTGCTAAATAAAGGGATTAACTTGAATCATTTTAACAATTCCCACAATAAATGAGACGGTAGTTGCAGTGGAATTGCTCTTTTGACTTTCAGTCAAGTGTGAGAACTGCTCTCTTTCTATTTTTGTCGGAAGGAGGGATGGGTGGGCAGGTAAGGGCTTGACCTGAAACAGGACTTGTAGCTGAAAAGGAGCCTGTGGTATCCCTCAGTCCCTTGATATCTGCTTAGGTGATCTGCAGCTCAGACAACATGCAAATTGGAAGGATGGCGCACACAGAGAAGTAAATAATTTTCAGTGCTTACATACCTCTCTGGGATGCAACTCTTCAAATCCATTCAGGGTTGGTCTGTCTGGGCATGGCATATTGGATTGGCAACACATACAGCACTTTAGCTCTTTTATTTAGCGGCATTGTCAAAATGGCTTCCAAAGCTTTCGATATTGCGATTAAAATTAACATTTCTGTGCAAGGCTCTTGCCTGTGTGTGCTCTCCCTTTTCATGATTCAGGAGGGAAATAGAGCATGGGGAAATACGTTCAGAACCATATTACTAACATCTGGATTTTGCAGCAGCTCACCACCTGCCGAGCAAGCCGGAGGCACACCTTGTTAGCTAAAAACAGCTTCATCTTCCCTGCACTTTATGCACCTTGAACTTAATATGCAGAATGCTGGTTTTGTTCATACAAAGACAATAAAAGTTAAGTGAGAGATGGTA